TGATCACCCAGGATCCCTTGTGTAGGACCATATGAAACATGAGAGTGATGGGACTGTGAGACTTCAGAAAATGAATGCTGTCTCTCATTGTCAACTTCTTCCCTTCTGACTACTTATCCTCCTTCAGCCTGCAGCCATGACCATGACTGTAGCTTGAATTTTGAGTTACTTTTGTTTGTCATGAGTAGAATAGTTTTACACACTATGCTGATTTCTTTACCATATCTTTCTTACAATAAGCCATTTTCAATTTAATTTGTTGCTAAAATTATTCTCTTCATGGTCACATACACATTAATCACTGTTTCTCAGTCTTCTCAGTATTTCCCCCCTATAGTTCACAGGATCAACTACTTTCATCCACTTAAAGCCCCATTTGCAATAGCGTCTGTGATATTGCAGTATCATAATTAGTTCTTGCTTTTTCTGACTGTTTATTTCTTTTCTGCTTAACATATTCACTGATTTTTCATCCTCCTCATATTTCCTAAAATATGCATCCATAAAAGGAATCATGAACAAAGTACATATTATGAACCAATTGCATACCTGGCTCCATTCTCAGAGAGTCATTTAATGATATGATTGCTTTATGGAATGCATTGGCCTTGCCTACTCTTCAAATACACGCTCCATCCATGGGGTCATTGCAAAAGCCCTTATCTCAAGTTAGAAAGGGTGTGTATTCTTGAAAAGAACTATAAACTTTGTTGGCACTTGGAATTTTTTCGAAGGAGGAGTATAAATCAATAGGCTTCACTTCAATACTACTGATTTTAATAGTGTTTACAAAGCATATAGTATATGATACTGCCAAAGAATAAACTGAGGTGAAATTGTCCTCATTAATGCTACTTTAATATTCATTCAGCCTCTTTGAACCATAAAGTATATTTCACACGTTAAGTATAGAAGTAAACACGTGACTGGGGATGTAGCTTTCTTGCTTAGCATGTGTGAACCCCAGAACACCCACCAAGAGATAAACTTTCTGATTTCTGATTAAAATATATATATGAACATGTGCATACACATATATATAAGTATATATTCCATTTTAAGACAAGGAAAATAAAGAATAAAGAGGGTAAAGGCCAACCAATATTCTTATCATTTCTGGCTCCTATTTTAATGCTCTTGCCATTACAATATTATTTAATGTTGTGCCATGTTTCAGAAATTAACACAGATATTTATTTAGAAATCAGTCTTTACTTCATGAAAAATATAAACTATCACAGATAAAAATATTTTAATGTGTTAATTCACATCTGCACAATAGTACATGGTGGGAACACAACTTGGTTGCAATTAAATATGAGAAGTATTACATTACTATGGGTTTTGGGAAAAAACTAGATATAGTATTTTAGGTTTTGAGCTAATATAAACAATTTTCTATATTTTCCATCACAAGTTATTTATTTATATTTCCTCCCCCTAACCAAATCCTCTGCCATTAGCCTGTGAGCTTCTTCATGGAAAGGAACAAACAAAAGCTTCCCACTTATAGACTCTAAACAAATCTTTGTTTAGGGACTAAGTGAACAATAAATTAGCTCTTGAATCTGAATTGCTGTGAATTCCATTTTGAATAGTGCTGTGTCTGTAACTGCTTCCGGCTGTAATTCTTACTGAGTAATTAATCCAACTGCTAAAAGCTGTTGTTGTGTTGAGGTGCCATAAAAATAAAAATGTAAAGAGTCACTTGGAATCATCCAAACATCTTCTTTTTTAGTAGAAATTAATTTAGCTAATGCCTCTATATAATATAACCAGACATTTTTTCTTAAATAAACAAGAAAACAAGTACACAGTTCAAAAAATAGCACTCATGGAAACATTAAGAAAATTCTTAAAGTAGAAGGTAATCAGAATCAAAATGCTGGAATGAAGAAACACAGGGTAGTGATAGGCTCTATCTAAACATGCAGGCATGTGAGAGAAATAGGGTAGTGATAGGATCTATTTAAACATGCAGGTATGTGACAGCAATAATACATCTCAAAATATAAACACATATATATCAATAAAAGAAAACAAAAACATGCCAAAAGACATGAAAGACACAAAGATGCCAAAGGGTTCTAAGTTTCTTTTCTTGAACAAAAGCAAAATTAATAAGTTATATTAAACTAATAAATCATATATAGGTGGTATGATATTTAGGTTAAGTTAAAACAATAGTAAACAAATAAGTATATATTTACACACACATATATAATATAGTACAATAGAGGGAAAATTAAATGATTAAAATGTTTTATTATAAAAATAAATAAAATAGAATATTGCAATGAATGTATTGAGACAAAAGTCTTTTTTCTTTGCAATAATGGGATTCTCAAATGTCAATAGTAAAAAATAAACAAACAATTACACAATGGGAAAAACACATAACAAACTTTTCAACAGAAAGAATATACTGGTGTCAAATGTGTGGCCATTAGCATATTTAAGTCAGGGTAACAATGATATACCACTAAGTATCTGTCAGAAATGAACAGAGATATGAAGAAACTGTATCACTCATACATTTCTGATAGAAAAGTAAAATTGTAAAAGTTATCCTAGAAAATAACTTGGCTGTGTTTTAAAGGACTAAACCTGTTATTACCTTATAACTCAAAGAAATAAGAATATATAGCCACAAAATATCTGTGCATCAGTATTCATAGTGTCTTTATTTAAAAGAGCTCAAACCTGATGTCTATCAAATTGTCAATGTTTAAAATGTAGTGTGTGTACACCATGAAATGCTACTCTAAAATTAAAAAAGGACTGAACAATTGTAAAAATGCAACTAGTTGGAAGAATCTTCAGGGAATTATGCTGAACAAAAAAAATCCAATCACTACATGCTATTAGATTCCATTAACAAAATGGTCTTACAATGAAAAAGTAATAGAGATAAAGAATGGAATAGTAGTTGTCAGGAGTTAGAAACATGGAGAAAGAGGAGTACAGGAAGGATGCCAGGGTGGTGATAAAATGGTTATATGAGGATTCTTGGGATGATGGACTTTTGATCATCAAAAAATAGTGTTTTGTATTGAAAATTATTAGGAGGGTAGATATAATTCTAAGTATATCAGTAATTACACTAAAAGCAACTAGACTAAGTAATTTAATTTAAAGACTACCATTGTTATTTTGCATTAAAACAAAAAAGAAAAAGGAAAATTTCCAAGTATATGAAACTCTGAAGGAATGTTTTATAGAGAATAAAAAGCTGAAAGAAGGGACTATTTTAACAAAGAATTATTAATCAACAAAAAGCTGGTTAACTATATTATTCTAATATAAATAAAATATTCTTGGAGGCAAATAACATATAGGATTTCAGTTAAGGATAAAGAACATTCCAAAAATTATAAATTATCTTGTATCCAATAATAGAACTACATATATAAAGTAAATGTTGACAAACTGAAAGGAGAAATACACTAATCTATCATCAAAATGGAAGACTTTAACACACCCATCTCAGTATCTGACAAACTAAACAGGCTAAAACGTCATTAACAATACACAGGGTCAGAACTCCTGCTGAACATATAATGTAGTTGGAATATGTGAAACATTGCACTAAAAGTGACAATGCTGATCTTTAGTGAGTACATATAGACCCTATCCTTAAATCGCTCACTTGCTATGTAAAATCAAGCCTCAACAAATATCAAAGGATTGAAATCCAATATGAAATTATACTAGAAATCAATAACACAAGTAGTAGTTTAAAAATCCCAAATGTTCTGAATTCTCTTGATGCACTTTTAAATAGTTCATAGCTCTAAAATTGGAAAATATCATTAAATAAGTGAAAAAGACATGAATATGGGTATAAATGGATTTCCAAGGCACTCCTTTGGTCATAACAAGATCAGTACAGGAAGTCTCTGTAAGACGGGTGGCAAGACTGATTGATGTCTTCCTCAGGCTTGGGGAATGACAGAATTCTGAGCCCTCTGGGTTTCCTTATTGCCTCTCACATATCCTAGACAGAGCCTTCTAGAACCCTCCATTCCTAAATGAAGATCCCAGACACACACACATGCCCAAACAGGAAAAAAGCAGCTCTGAGGAAAGGCTGTCCTCTGATAGTTAAAGGACTGGCAAATGCAGAAGCTAAAAACAGAAGTCCTTTTTGACCTGACCTGCCCCCAATGCAGACAAACACCACAGGACCAGTGGTCCTTACCGCACACCCCAGGTTTCAGCAGGGTGAGCAGAGCTGGCCTTCCAACTCTGGGCCTCACTTCTGAGCTAAGTCAGAAACTGACAGCATTCAGTTCTTCACTGAAAAGTTGCCAATCCCTGCAACTTCTACCTCAAGAAAGTATAAGAGCAAAAATGCAAACTAAGGAACTCAAGGAACAGAAACAATAGAAAAAAAAAAAAAGCATAAACTGGTGATTTTAAATACATGGAGGTAAAGAGATTCAACAAAGGCCCAAAACAGTCCTTTGAAAAAATTTATAAATCATTGGCAGAACAGACCAAGTTAGAAAGAAATTCAACAGTGTAAAGAAGGACAGCTAGTGATTGTACACTTAAACAGATAATAGTATTCAAATAATGCAAGGTAATCTACACAGGGCTGGAGGTGTGGCTCAGTGGTTGAGCACTTGCCTGGTATGCAGGAGCCCTGAGTTCCATCCCCATCACCACAAAATAATTCATTAATTATTTAATAATTATGAATACATGAATAATTTAATAATTATTTAATAATTATGAATTATGAATACTTTTTTCTTTGAGAAAAAAGTTACTAAGATTAACACAAGAAGAAATGCAAAAAACCCAATAAAACTGCATGGTTAAACAATTGTTAGTAGTAGAGTCGAGTCTTCAACTTGGGTTTTGGTCACCAGGTTCACAAATGGTTTACTGAATTAGATTCTTCTTTTGCAACACTTTCTACTCTTGGAAACATGCTAAAAAGAGGAATGCTCTTTTTCAATCCACACACTTAGAGCCCATGAACGTGGACTCACCGACTCAGGTCTGTCCCGGGCACATATTGGGAAAAGCGGGAGTGGAGCAGGGGAATCAGGCGGAGGTCACACCAGCGCTTCTCCCACCTCAGGCCTGGAGAGGTTGGCCACGAGGAGCATGACAAGGTGTCCTGCAAAGAACACACACAGTCAGAAGGGTTTATCTTCATTTGGGTGTTGAGTTCCTGTATCATAAGCCCTTTTCCTTTGGGGGAAATTATTTTTTCCTCAAATGTTGAGAAACACTTTGATCATCTTTTAAAGAGTTTATCTCTTCATGAGAAGAAATCCACACCCATTTACACCAGAATTGCATTTCCTAATTTCATTGTTAATGAAATTCTTTAAGAAGTTGAAGAAGGATTCATTCCAATGAAGAATGCTAGTAAAAAGTCATGAAAACCATGTGGTGGGATGAAGAAGAAAAGAGTGAAAGTGGCAGAACTGAATTCATTCAAGAATGAAAGACATAAGGCAAAACTGTGACCGAGATGAAACAGAGTGACAAAATAAAAATAAGCAGTCATTGTTCAATTAGCTAAGGTTTTGAATAACCACTAAGTGCTAAGCACCAAAATAAGTGCTTATTATTTATCAGTTACTTGCAAATATTTTGAATGAATGAAAATTTCTATGAAATAACTTTCAAAAACACTCAACAAAGTCTTGGTCATTGTTTTAGCTTCACTTTATAAAAGGTTTATACTTTCTTATATTGTTTTCATGTCATATCAAGGCAACTATTGCTGGCTTAAAATTACACGTATTTTAAGTTTTGTTGGAGGTTTATCCCCTCAGATGATAAAACGACATGTCTTTGAAAAATCTTGATGGGAAATTCCAGTTTTACTATTGAAAACCAGCAGTTGACATAGATAAGTTATAAGTGTGCCAAGGTTTGGTTCTCTTGTATTCACTAATTTTTGAGTTATGATGGTAGATTTTGTTTTACTCTAAGTTTGAAATTCTCTGCTCTAAATATTACTAAACATTACTTTCAATCATTCATTTCTTTAAGTGTATGAGGAAAAAACCCCACTATGTTCAGAATGTACCAAGTCCATGGAGCAGTTTAAAATGCATGAGGAGTTGGATAAGCTGAGGTCACTTTGTGAGAGGACCCTGTTAGTGACTCATTGAGTACCTTGGCCTCTGAAACTGAGCCCTTTGATGAGACACACTTACTTTTAAATCTTTCCTGGTGAGTGTAATGACAGATTTGTTTCTGTGGGTAGGCCAGAGTTATCTAGTATTTCATGTCAGTCTATCTACTGGCCTCATGTCAGATGTCATGGTTAGTCAGCACATGACACAGGCTCAATTCTTCATTTTGGATGTCATGGGTGGTCAGCACATGACATGGGCCAATTATGTAGCAATACAACAAGGTGGTGAGGACACAGTTTCGAAATCAGGACCAGACCACCCAAGTTTGAATCCCAATTTTCTAACTGACTAGGCCATTAACCTAGGGTCAAGTTATTTAGAATCTCTGTGTCTTGCTGTGCCTGTATTCAAAATGTCAGTAACAAGAGCAATGACTAGTAAGATTACAGTCGGGAAAAATGAGGATGTGTTAGAATGTAGCCTAGCACTGAGATTCATGTTCTTTTAAGTATTTCCAAAAGGATAATGGAAATTCTACATTTATGGATAATAGCAGACTGATTAGAGGCATCATGGGGTAGCAGGAAGTGAACAGTGGCAGATAATGTATTTTCAGAAATTTAGTATGCTTGAATAGTTGACAAAAATTATTTCTAAACATAAAGCTTCCAGGAAAAACACTTAGTAGTTTCAGCAGCTATATTATTGCTGCTGCTATAATCTTTACCTACACTAAGGGTTTTCCATGAATTGTTTAAACCCCATGCACCATCATTTCAAGACAAAGATAACCACATGCTCTTCTTACAGAGCAAACTCGAAAGCTGGTTTTTAGAAGCAAAGAGTTATTACTTCCCATCTTTTCTGAAAAGGGGCATATAAGGAAGCAAAATATCTATGTAATAGACTAGGGCTAGCCAGATTTGTTTCTGTGATAGGCCAGAGCTATCCATGGTTTCATGTCAGAGTATCTCCTGGCCTCATGTCAGAAGCCATGCGTGGCCAGCCCATAATGTACAGTTGTCAGCTCTTCAAGGTAGATGTCATGAGCAGTCAACACAGGACATGCAGTGTAGCTCAGTCCCTGTCAGCCTCACACTGAAACCCACTCCCAGGACCCTCCTAAGAAGTCATTACCAAATCATCCAGCCTGCTAGTTACACCTCTATCACAGCACATTCATCACCCATAATCAGACATGAAACAACTGAAAGATTAGCATTCTTCAGGTGATGGCTTCAAATTTTATAAAGTTTTAGGCAATTATTAAATTACATATTAAAATATGTATTATTTAAAGATGGCTGCCATCTTTCATAAAATGTAACAATTACTCCCATCACTTTTCATGTTCCAAGAACAAGCAGAATAGAAAATATAAAAGAATATTGGATACAGGTAATGGAAGATTGATGACAATGATGAATACCAATAGGTGAGTATGATAAGTTTTACAAATAACATTGATCGATGTCATAGTCTAGCAGATATGAAAATACAAATGATCTTCAACATTTCCTTATTTTAGCATCTTGTCTTGGTGCTTTTATGTAGCAATATTACAAATGTGTCACTTTCTTTTATACTTACTTTCTTAAAAGAAATATGAAATAAGTCCAACTTCAGCTGCAAGTTGGGCTTGCTATATTCCATATTACAGAACAGTTGTTTATTGTGGGATACCTTGTATCCTGTAAAGGTTACTTAATCTTATTTATTTTAATTATGAAAAACAATGTAAATTTGTTTTCTAGCTTTTTCTTTTAAACAGTAATAAGAGTGACTAAGAATTGCATATAAGATGACCTAAAAACACAATCATTTCATGGTTTTGAGAGCCAAACAATGTCTACAACGTCAGCAATGTTGTTTCCTAAAATAGCAATGTGAACAGAAAAGCAACATTCATGTACCCTTTGCTTTAAAAGAGGACTTTTGCCCCGAACTTAACACACACCTTCAAAAACAATCATCTGACCAAAACAGAGTTGCATGTAGGGCCAAATGACAAGGACTCAGCATACAAAGCATAGCTTAGAGGTATACAGTCAAGATAAATGGTTTTCAGAGTTTACTTAGTTGATTATATCTGAGTCATAGGCTCCTGGAAAGCATAAAACAAATCCCCTTCCTCCATCTCCAGGGAGACAAATTTCAGTGGGTTTGGGCTGAGCTTAACATTGTGTGTTTGAATTGGTGAAATGTGGGTCTTTTATAATCCCTAAAATTGGCAATCTCAGAAGAGCTACATCATATTTTTATGCAGGATAGTAAAGAAATTCTAATATATTATAAGGCTTTATGTTTCCCTGATGCTTTAAAACGCTTCCATAAAATATAGAAAGGATGTTTCTTGAAACTTGGTTTCAGAAAACCAAGTGTCGAGATATTCTAAATTTACTTTAAAGAAAAATTAAGGTATAGTGTTAAAAATGGCAGTCTAGGCATGGTGACTCATGCCTGTAATTCCAGCTACTAAGTAGTCATTGACTGGAGTTTCATGTTTCAAGGCTAGTCAGAGGAAAAGTAAGTGAGATCCCCATCTCAACGAAAGAGCCAGGTGTGATGGTATGTGCCTGCGATCTGAACTTCATGGGATGCATAGGTGGGAGAATCAGGGCCCAAGGTGTCCCAGGCACAAATATGAGACCCTATCAAAGTAAAAGCAAAACAGGGCTGGAGCCTTAATTGGCCTGTCAAGGAAGCTGGAGGCCCTGAGTTCAATTCCCAATATCCTCAAATAATGAATAAATAAAAATGGAGTTCTTTATAATTTCTATATTTTATGTAGTAGTTAAAAAACAAATTTAATTAAAAAAATTAAGTGAAAGTGGAGTTCCTAAACCAAGGACAGTATTGAGAATTGATACACTTTCTAGAATCTGGTATTCCTCTTATAGAGACTGTCTACACTACACAAAACTTCTGTGGAAAGTATGCTTCACAACACATCTCCTTCCCAGTGTCCGCTGACCTGACAAGGGATGTTCTCCACCCTTTACCCCTGTGTTGAACGTCATTGAGAATATGGAAATCAAACAAGGGCAGAAACACTGCCTTCATATAGATCTGGGTGACCTGACTGGGATCAAAGATAAAGATGCCTTACTCCCTTGGGGGTGGATTTGATCAAGGCACATTATATGTGTGTATGGAAATATCACAATGAATCCCTTTGTGTATTAATCTAGGCTAACACAATAGACAAAGATGAAAACTCCCAAAGTGAGCAACAGAGTAGCATTTGGTTTGTAGTCTCTAAACTTTTTGAATTCAACCAAGTCGGATGTTGGAAATCTCCCCAGCTTTTGTCTCTATCAGAATTACCTCATCACCATTACTCTTTTTCTGCTTATGATAAAGTCAATAGTATAGATTTGTCTATCGGTCTGGATTTTAAATGTTTTGGGTTGGGAGCCATAATTAACGGTTCCTATAAATATCTAGTACAGTGATTCTACACGACAGATTTTTAGTAAAAATTCATTTGATTGACATTGTTTTCTTTATTTTGAATGCACTTTACTCAAATTTACATGTGTCTTGATTCTTATTCTCTAAAACACCATAATAAGTATCTGCAATTGCCTTACATGGAAATATCTCCAGCAAGGTCAAAAGGAAGTCCAATCGTAATGTGTATTTCTTGGAAATGGAAGGACAGCTACAGTGTGAAAAGTGTGGCACTGGTATTCTCTATTTAATATAACTGGGTTTATTTAAAACAGTGGTGCTACAGAATTGCTGAGTGATTTCCTCGTTCTAATTATACATTTCTAAAGAATATCATGATAATTGTTTCTGTGTACAAGGGTAGAGTGGGTTAAAAATAAACCAGAATGTTTTCTTCCATAAGATATTTCTTTTTGACTTCTCTACTCATTATCACAGAAGTTCACGAGTAGCAGGCAAGAACTAGATTAAGCACATTACCAATCAGCATTCTCCCATTCTGAAGTAAAGTAGCTTATTTTTGCCTCTGTCTTAGGAGTAGAGCTGAGGTGCAGACTCTTGTGTGAATGGTTTGTAGAGAGAAAGTTCTCAGAGGAAACCTGTGAAGATTCAGGGGAAAGGTGGATGAAGTAACCAACATCTTAGGAAAAGATGTGGCTTCGCAGGAATTGATCTACCCTGTCTGCTGATGCCCTGGCAGGGATTTGCCTTTATCCTCCAGTCACCAAGGTATGCATTAAGCTTGGAGTGCAGTTGGGCTCTGACTCGCAGGCAAAGGAGATCCTTAGAGAAGGCAGCTGTGATCAGGAGTAACTAAAGATAACAGCAACTCGAGCAAGGGCACCTGTAAGTAAAGGGAATGGAAAGCTATTGCAAGTTTCAAGGGCATGGAGATTGGAAGGGGACAAGGGAAGCAAAGCAATTAAGAGGTTAAGAGGTTAAAATTGGGCTGAAAGTGTAGCACAGTGGTAGAGGGCTTGCCTAGCCTGCGTGAAACCCTGGGTTCCAACCCCAACCTTGAAAATACAAATTCTGAGGTCATGTACAGTGTGTATAGAACTGAGAAAGGAGGTGGTAGGACCACAGAATGTGTGTATTCTTCTGTTCTTAGGAAATAATATTCAAAAAGTATATTATGAAGGAAAATGCCACAATTAGATCTAGAATTTCAAGTAGAGGAGGTAGAAATCCAAGACAGAAGAAAAAGTTACGTGCTTTATGTATTCTAATACATGCAATGGGAAAATAAAATTCTACTCAGGTCAACTGTGCTACAATTCATATGTGTGAGCTCAGGGGATATTGCTAGGTTCACATATAATGAGAGAAAATCATTTTTATCTTCAGAGTGAGCATTTCGAATGCTGAAATATAAGAAATACAATATCACTTATAAAAGAGAAAGCCTATTTACTCCAAAATACAAGTGGAAAATAAACATTAAAAACTTTATTAAATGTCTACAAAATGATTATGTTAATTTAATATTTTATTAACTACATGTATGGTTTAATATTCATTACATTTTAATGTAGTATGCAAGTAGATTATCTCATTTTATAGTAATTTCCTGATATGCATAAATTGCTAACACATCAATACAAATGATAGCAACTTTTAGCTGGATAATTTCAAAAAATGATTGGAATGATGTTAAATGATACAGAGCATGAAATTACATATGATATATAATGTTCTAAAATAATTGTGTGATGTTATTTGTGACCTCCTTGAAATAAAATCCTTCACAGTTTACAGACCGAAGAGGAGAAAAACAGCATCAGTAACAGGCTACCTTTTTCCCTTCCCAGCTTATCATATTACTTAAATGATGAAGCAGCCAAGGCCTTCTTATGATTGGATCAGATTCAGTAGCAATGACAGCAAACTACAAAGAAAAAGTCTACACTCCTTGGGGTGTTCCTGTGTTGTCTCCCTATTAGTCTGGACTGTGCTGTGAGCTTACTGTGTTGTTGGGATGGTAGTTGAGATGCAAGCCACTGTCACAGAGAGGAGAGGAGGTGCCACTGCTCTGGTCACTGGGAGCACCTGCAGGAGACAAAATCACAACACTCCACCAGTTACAATGCAGCACCATTCTAGACTGACACAGTTCACATTACACTTGAAGGAATTCTCAGTAATCACAATAAATCGGGTGCCAAGATAAAACTGCCTTTCAACTTACACCAAAGCCAGAATACTCACAAGTATTTACCTTTGGTTTCACAAACATTAAAACTTTATTACGGAAAATATCCAACTGTATAAGAAGTGTTGCTTTGTTTCATTATCCAAAGTGAGCTGCACTAGTCCACTAGACTTGTAATAGTGCACGATTTTGTTTGCTCACAAAGTTCAATTTTATGTCATGCTTCAACCTATCAGCAATTCTATCTTTCGATATAGTTTTCCACTCTTATGTGCTCTGTCTCTAGAATTGTTCATGGTATGTATCCAAAGACCCCCAATGAAGCTACCTAAGTTCATAAAATTGTAATGATGAAACTTTTTTTTCTCCTCATGAGAAACTTAGTGATATCTATTTCTTAAAGATGAGTAATGTGTTTCTTAAAGATTTTTAATTTTCCAAGATGTCACAATTTAGTCAGTATTAGAGTAAGGATTAGAGTGCAGATTTCTTGATTGCCGATTCCTTGCTTATTAAAAAGACTTTATTTAAGAGTTGCCAATATGGAAGACCAAGATTTATTAATGTTATTGACTTCAAATTATTATTCAAAATATCATACTTCATTAGTAAATAACATTCTAATGTTACTTATGTGCTCAAAAATGATTTTGTTCTCTGCTATTACTATAAAATTCTGTAATTTTCCTGCTGCTAAGAAAGGGGTCAAAAGTTTTCATTGTTATACTAATATTTACTTTGTTTTTCCACTCTAAGCCTAAGAGATTTTGTACTTTGTTATAGCTACTTCTTATAAAGTTTATCTGCTTTATCTTTTATGAAACAATAGTTTAATGTCAATTTATTATTTTAAAACATATTCATTGTAAACTAAATAACATGAAAACACAAAATATCAAAATCTGTGAGTGTATCATAAACTGTTACTGAGTGAAAATTAAATACACAAATGTGACACAAAAGAAATATAGGCATAAACTTATTGATCTATGCTTGTATCTTAGGAAATTCTCAACAGAAGAGAAAATTAAACCAAAGTAAATAAAAAACAAAAATAAATAAAATAGAAAGAAAGAAATGGAAAATAACATTGAAAATTAAGCAAATCAATAACGGGTTCTTTGAAAATATTAATAAAGTAGATAAAACTGCTGCAAGAGTAAGCTACAAAGAATGTATAGGTTACCACTGTCAAGTAATGAAGACAAGTTAGCAGGTGTTAAAAGCACTAATAAAATGATATAATGAATAACCTCACACAAATTAATTAACAATTTATTTGAAATAGAACAATACCTTCGAAAAACTCAAGCAAAAAAATTTAAAAAAGAAGTGACTAACAAAATATTATTATATTTAGCTGGGAGCAGTGGTACACACACCTGTCATCGAAGCTGCACAGAAGTCTGAGATTAGGAGGATCACAGTTTGAAATCAGCCCAGGCAGAAAAAAATTGTGAGACCACATCTCGGTAGAAAAAAGCTGGGCATGCTGTCATCCCTGTTATGGGGGAAGTGTAAAATAGGGGAATCATGTTCCAGGCTGGTCTGGGCAAAAAGCAAGACTCTTTGTCCAAAATAATCAAAGCAAAAAGGACTGGAAGCATGGCTTAAGTAGTGGAGTACCTGTATACCAAGCACTGAGTTCAAACTCCTGTATCACCAAAATTTTTTAATCTATATTAATTCTAGAGACTAAACAATACCAAAGACTATAATTGTAGATTTAGATTGTTACTATGGATTATTTATTCAATCATTTAACAAAAATACCCCATTATCCTTGTTAAACAGATTTTTCTGAAGTTGGAAGACCTATTACTTCACAACTTCTATGAAGACACAATAAATATGATACCTATACCCCACTGAATATTATAAGAAAATTATAATGGATGTCTTTCATGAACACAGGCAAGAAAGAAATTATAGAACTACAATAGCAATAGATCAAAAAATACTTGATGATAATGTGGTATTTGTCTTAGCTTGTTTGACATTCAAAATCAAGTATTAAAAATTTGCCAGATCAGCAAACTAAAGAAATAAGTATAAAATATCAATTAATGTACAAAAATTTTTGAGTAAACTTAACATTAGTTGATATATTAACAAAACCTTCAGTACAGGGCCCTGAGGGTTATATGAGTAAACATAATAGGAGAACTTCTGACAACCAGAGAGTGGAGAGCATCCTCTGTACTGATAAAGCCTAATAAACAGACCACTCTTCTCTTTAAGGAAGAAAAGTTGACTTATTGTTTTCTATTTCTCTTTTACAAATTTTTCTCTTGATGGTTTCAGTGGTTTGTTAGACCTCCTTTTTAAAATTAATATTAATTTCACTATCTCTTTGCCATATACATGGCTGTGGCATTCTTCTCCACAATAACAGAACTAAATTCCTGCACATTAATATTTTGTCTGATCCCCATCTTCCTCTTCATTACTTCTTGTTACATGCAAGAAGTAATGTTACTGTCTATTTTTTAACTCCTATGAAAACTTTGTTTCTAATCCTCATAATATTCTAGTGTCTTTCACATGTAACATGATTGGTAATATACATTATATCAATAGTTTTTTACTTCATTTGATTTGGTATTAAATAAATTAGTAAAATTTGTTATTGCTAAGTTATGAAATGTTGAGAAATGAAACATCAATCCAGCTACTACCCAGTCCTACCAGAACATGAAGAATAATTCAATTAAAAAATGTTAGGTAATTAAAACCTCCAACCAAGGACTTGACTTTAGATGAACAAAATTCAACTCAGAAACACAAGAAATATAAAAAAAGCAATGCAGCATAACACCTCAAAAAGTCAACAATCATGCAACTAAAGGATCTGAATGATATTGAAGTGAATGAAATTTCAAATACTGAACTCAAAAGAATGATGACAAGAATTATCAATGAAATGAAAGAGGATGTGTATAAACACCTCAAAAAATCAAAGAGAACAGAAATAAACAGCTAATTAAACTCAGACGACACAGATAAACAGTTGAATGAAATAAGGAAGACAATCTAAGATTTGAATGGGAAATTTTTAAAAGTTACAAAAATCAAAAAAATATAGAAATTCTGGAAATGCAAAACTCTATTAATTGAATAAAAATTCAATTGAAACTATCTCCATCAGACTGAACAAAGTGAAAGATAGAATATTAGGGCTTGAAGACAGGATAGCAATAATAGAGAAAAATCAGATTAAGATAAAGACAAAAGAATGAAAAAGTGTGAATGTAATATGCAAGAACTCTGGGATGCCATTAAAATATCAAATCTATGGTCTGTGGGCATAGAAAAAGAAGAGGTGATAGCTACTGTCACAAGCAACATATTCAATAAAATAATAGAAGAAAACTCGTCAACTCTTGAAGCCTTTAGGACTCCAAACAGGTAAGACCAGATAACTTCTCCACATCAGCCTATAATTAAAATGTTAAGTATAGAGAATAAGAAAAGAGTATTAAAATTTGCTAAGAGGAATGTGAAGGTAGACTCATCAGAAAACAACAGATTTCCCAACAGAAACTTTAAAAGCAAATAGGTAGTGGAGTGATAGATTTCAAGCTCTGAAAGAAATAACTGTCAATCTAGATTTCTCTACTCAACAAAGCTATCATTCATAATTTGAGAAATAGAAACCTTCCATGATAAATAAAAACTAAACAATTTATGACTACTAAATCAGCACTTCAGATGATAGTCAAAGAAATTCTACACACAGAAGAGAGAGACACATGCAACTATGAGTATATGGGAAAAAAACAAATCTCACCAGATAAATAGATAAGAAAATGAGGAATGGGTAAGAACTGAATACTGAAAAAAACAAACAAATGGCAAGAATTACTACATATCTCTCAATAATAATTCTGAATGTTATTGCCCTCAATTCCCCAATTGAAACTCCCAGACAGATGAACTGGATTGAAAAACAAACACAACCATTTGTTTCCTGCAAGAACAAGGACAAACACAAATTTAAAGTGAAAGCTTGTGTTTCATAAAGGAAACACTACTAGATGTAAAAACCAGATAGATCCCACCACATTAGTAGTGAATGACCTTAATATTCCACTTTAATCAATAGATGTATCACCTAGACAAACAAAATCAACAAGAAACATCAGAATTAAATGACATTATAGATCAAAAGGACTTAACAGAGAACTACTTAAAATTCCATCCAATGACCGTAGAACACATATACTTTTCAGCAGCCAATTGAATTTTCTCCAAAATAGACCATACTTTAAGATATAAAACAAATCTTAAAAATATAAAAAAATGAAATAACTTCCTAAATGTTTTAGACCAAAATGGTATAAAACTAAAGATCAATAGCAAGCAAAATTATAGAAAATACTTCAAAACATGGAGAGTGAACAAATCACTTTTGAATGATCAGTGGGTCATGGAACAAAGTAAAAGAAGAAATTAAAAAAAATATCTACAAGTGGGTTTTTGGGATGGCTCAAGTGGTAGAGTGCCTGCCTATTAAGTGCAAGGCACTAATTTAAACCCTACTGCCAAACAACAACAACAACAACAAAACTACAAGCATTGAGAATGAAAACACAACTTATCAGAACTTCTGGGCAAAAGCAGTGCTAAGAGGAAAGTTTATAGTCACATGTGCTTATGTTAAAAAAAAACTCAGAGAGATTTCAAAGAAATAACTTAATATTGTTTATTACCTTCTTGGAAAAAAGAATAATCCAAACCTAAAAGCAGTACATGGAAAGAATGATAATGATATGGGCAGAAATTAACAAATTAGAGACTAAAAGAACAAAATAGAGAATCGATGAAATAAAAAGTAGTTCTTTGGAAAGACAAAGAAACTTAAGAAACCCTTAGCCAAACTATCCAAAAGAAAGGG